AATTAATAAATGGGTGAAAATTGCTTTGGTCCATATCCATAATGGGCAGCATTAATATACCCACATGCCAGCTAAGGTCAGAAGAGCTTTATTTAACAGCTGGTATTATGTCTGTGACCCCTCCTGTTGTTCATTGATGAGCCTGAAACATGCACTTGTCAAGGTTCAGAGGCACATTTTGCAAATATGGCAGTCACCATAGATCATCTTAAGATAAGATAAGATATACTTTATTGATCCCAAGTTGGGAAATGTTTTTGTTAAAGCAGCATGTACTACTGTCATGGGGTGTTCTACTCCACTACAATTCAGAGGTTAACCTGGTATTTTTACTCCACTACATTTATTTTTGTTGCTTTGCAGATTCTGATTAATGATGTGAAAAATAAACAACCCTTAAATCAGACTTTCATTACACCTGAGTCAAATTCAGCCTTATTAGTTTGTCTGTTTTGCACATCCTCCTGTTAATATCTTTGGACGTCCTGCACTAAACTGTTTTATTGTAGAGATCACAACAGTATCTTCTTGATATTTTCTATTCTATATTTCTATCATTGACCCCTATTTTGTATGTAGGCTACTCTTAATATTTAAATGTTTTCATCAAATATAACTTGTTCAACAACAAAATTCAATAATGTGCTTTAACCACTAGGCGGTGCGGGTTAAAAAACCAGTGGTCTAGTTAATAAAACATAATAATATCAAACATAATATTACTAACAACTTTATTGTGAAATTAAAACAGAACGGTAAAGGAAAATACAGTTTCAGTCTCTCGATGTGAAGCTTATGCATTGTACCATGAACCTCTATAGACCTGTAACAGTCAACTGCATCAGGAGTTGGAAAGGTAGTAAATAATATCTTTAAAAACTACAAAAAAATCCCTTTCTATCAGCTGTGCACCGTTATGGTGTAAATACAGCCTATCTACCAATTGGATCAAATATAAAAGTCAGCCGAATTAGTGTTGATATTGCAAGGAGACGTATTGTGTGAAAATAAATGGAAGATGTTGTTTAATTGCTAATATATTTATGATCCACGTCACGTATTCAGTTTTGGCAGCATTTCCTACAGTTTGTCAAAAGGTCTTCTGATCAGGGCTCTATAAATAAATATCTACGGCAGATATGTAATATGTAATGCAGCCGAACCGTGTATTACAATGCCGTTATGTGATGACTTCCAAAGAGAAAAGCAAGAACACTCGGAATAAAGTATTATTTTTTATTTTTTTTATTTTTCCGATTTCATATCGGATAAACACCATATCCCGACGTGCATTGCGGCTATCAAAACCTCTGAAAAAAGAAATGTGTCTCTCAGAATCGAAAGAGAAAAACCTATGGGAAAAACACAAAACCATTGTACACAATTTAAACCAATAGATGTCGTATAATTAACAAGGATAAACTGATGTTTTTTAGTGGATGAGTACTGCAGATATCACTGTTAAATCATTTGATCATTGGTTTTATTATGAAAACGTCGAGACCGGAAATACTGTTTTCAACCCGTGACTTTACATGGAGGCTGCCGCATACCTCAAATCATCTTCGTAATATCTATCAAACTATAGATCCTACATATCGACTGGACGTGGATTCTAAAAGTACAATATACACTTCTCGCTTGAAATCTAATCAAAAAGCGTTTTAATGGCCAAACTATCCTACAATTTAGGATTCTACACAGAGGGTTATTTGTGAATAAACGACCATCTGTAACGTTAGCATTCAACGGGAGCACTAGAGGCCGAAAACTTTAAAACGTAATTATAGGAAGTATTAAGCGCTTGAACAAACAACATATTTGGTCGTAATAAGGGCTTGAACAATCGACCCATTTGGTCGTATGAGTTGGAGGACTTGTTATTCCAGAGATAAAAGCAACACATTCTAACAATTGAGAATCGTAAATTAGCATCTGCTTAGCATTTTTGATTAAATTAACTCGACAATTTATCTGAAGCTTTTATCCAATAGTTACAGTAATTACATCTAAGCATGAATATACAAACTCTAAAAAACAATAATCCTGCAAGTAGCTTTAAAAAGCCAAGCTATAGTTCATTTTGTATTGGCCTATGTGCAGTTGAACAGGTGGAAGTGATTGTCTCAGCTCCACTCTTGGACTAGTAGGTCTTCACAACAAAAAATATGTTATGAGAAAGCTGTTGTTCAAATCCACAATGATTAGTTTTCTAGTTGAAATCCCATGTGCTCCTAGGCGCATCCATGAAAACATTTTGACCCATGGATGTTTAACATTTCACAAATGTATAGCTAATAAAAGAGATCACTGCAGGATATTAATAGAGTGTTAGAGCAGCCAGACATTATATGGGACGTGTCGCAGGTTATTACTGTAAAGTAATTAGTCCTCTGTGGGAACTCCTTGATTTCATATGAGTGAGTTGGACGCAGGGAGAAGTCCATGTGTTTCTGATCAGCCTGCACGCTGCTTCCTGCTCTAATGTTTTCATCCTCTTCATGACCTCATCATGTTTCTGGGCTCAGCATTATGTCACCAAGGGCGGGCCCACGCTCTCATACTCATTTATACTCACCCTCACTTGTTGTTTCTATATTTTACTCTACCAACTTTTTTTTCTTGGCGCCTTTTTTTCTGTCTCTCTTCCCTCACCTCCTCTCCCTCTCATGCTCTACACGTCACGTCACTTGTTAGACACTTTTATCCAAAGCGACTAACATACTCAATACTGTGGGCAATCCCCAGGAGCAATGTGGGGTGAAGTGTCTCAGGGACACAACGACATACTGACTGCAGTGGGGTTTGAACCTTTGAACCCCCCTCTTTTCCCCCATCTGTCCCCGGATGTTCCCACCACTGTCAAAGTGGGGGAAAAAACAGCATCACTGTAAATCCACCAGACCTTTTGATCAAAGTAAAGACAGCCACAGTAGTGCAGGAAGACTCAACCATCTACAGAGACAAATTGTGTTTTATCTGAATGTTTTGCTTAAAAAAGAAGAATATCCCGCTATTCCAGGGGTTATATGATGCAACATGTACTATTGACTGTAGACCAGCGGTGTCAAACTCAATTTCATCGCGGGCCACATTCGCATAAAGGTTGCACTCAAAGGGTCGGTTGTAACTATATAAATGTATAATATATATATAAAATAATGTATTATATATTACATTATTGCCTCTGATTATTATCGGATAGGATAATAATTTAGTAATTAACTACGTCTGAAAGCAGAAGTCCAGGGCAAATAATTGCAAGTCTCTTCAGTGCGCATGTCACAAAATGAGATGCATTGTGGGACATGTAGTTTATGGGCAACCTGCTTCTGTAATGCGGCATGTAACCGTATTATATTGTTGCAAGCTCTTGCGGGGCCACATAAAATGAAGTCGCGGGCCGGATTTGGCCCCCGGGCCTTGACTTTGACACCCCTGCTGTAGACTATACTTTTCACGCAGTGCTCTTGCCTACCAAACAGCTCATAAACATGTGGTGTCTTCTTTTCTGTGACGTACATCTTAAATGTTATGGTTTGTAAAACACAGTGGAAACATGGAACCAGGGCCTTATGGAGTGTTACAGTTCAGGTTTAGCGAAACTTCATGTTTTTTTATGTTGTGGAAAACAGCTTTAGGTCTATCATTGCTTACATGTTGATTTGTACAGAAGTAAAACAGCCAAAATGTAAAGAAATCAGGGTAGCATGTACAGTATTTCCCAAATGTGTGCCACTTCATTATGCAAATCAAAATGAACAAAGCTTTTGCAAATATTCTAATTACTCACGTTTACCAACAAGTATTTGTAAACCAGAGCATTTTAAGGTATTCTCATGTCTTTCTCTGATAGCATCATTTTTCTGAAGAACCTTTTATAAAGAGATTTTTGGAAAAGACAATTTCCCCGTCCTGGCAAAGAACATAACTTAAATTGATCTTAATTTTCAATCATCTCTACAAAAGCTAGAATGATTTCCCTGCGACTCACAGTCGTGTTTGAGAGGATCTCTCTGATACTACTACCAGAGTTAATGTTATACACAGCGTTTCCGCCAGGGGGCGTCTTGCCGTTATTTGACGCCCTTATTCAGCTCGGGACGCCCTGAACTCGAGCCGAGGGCGTCCAAAAATATTAATAATTCGAGAGAAGATCGAGAGTTTTTATTGCTTGAAATAACGAAAAGGAAAAAGGACAAGGACATCCCTCTGTTGGAGGGGCAAAGGAGTCTGGAGGGATTATTTTCGGAGTATTGAAGATCGTTTCCACGACATCGGTGGTGCCTGCTACAGGACAACACGGTACGTGTGCGATTTGGACGCGATGAGCGGGGAGGTTTTAGTGGAGCACGCGCGTGAGCTGCGAGCGCCAGAGCCTCGCAGTGGCGAAACTGAGGCTCCGTGGTAAACTGTGGTAACATGAAGAGCTGTTTGGGAGCCGAAACAGCCGGCGCTTTAAGAGAGCCGAGCCAAATGATCCGGCTCACTAACGTAATAAAGACAGTATCTATAAGGGACGGCTCAAGTCAAAATTCAGTCTGTTAAGGGTACCCACTATTTATGTTTTTTGTCTTTGATAAATAACTGACATTTATTTATGTTATTCTGCATTGTTGTTGTTTTAAAACTGTGCCAAGGATCAAGAAAGACTGACCTACTGTAACCTCCAGTGAGCTTCAATGAATACACTGCAATAACTAATGCTTCCACTTATGAAACTGAATACTGTACAAGTAGGTTGTTTTTGTATACTCAGGTTAATCATAGACATGCCCCCATTGTGAGGCACCCATAAGCACCAAATGATCTGCACCTTAATGAAGCCCTTGGCTAGAATAAGAGGTCTGGCGTTCAGCTCTGTTTCTGGTTAAGCAGGAGTGAAACGGGGCTTCAGGCCATAGACTCTCTACTCTGAAGCTCTTGCACCCATTGTGTAATATGTTGTAATGTGACCCAGCTGCAGTGTTAATCGTCTCCTCTTCCCCTGTCTGTTGCAGAGAGTGTGCGGGAGGCGGTGGGTCGCAGGGTGAAGCTGACCCTGAGGCGCAAAGTCCAGCTGGAGGTCAAAGGTGACAAGGTGGAGAACAGAGTGCTGGTAAGTGACAGCTGCTCAGTTTTCTAAATACTGCAAATACAGTGAGAATTTCCATCCTCCTGATCTTTACAAAAGTACTTTTCCGTACAACGAAAAGGCATTGTTAATAATATCTGGCTGGTAAGTCACTAAGCAGATGATTCAGTACAGTAGTTTACGTCATTGCACAAGGATTCGTGGGAAAATTGAAAGGAATTGAATGGATTTTTTTACAACATGGGACCTTTAATTCAAACGATGATGTTTTGTTTTTTAACATGACAAAGCTGTTTCTTTGCTTTTTTGTTTTGTTTTCTTGAGAATGCAGTTTAGTTGTATGGAAACCTAATTTTGTAGGACACCGGGTTCATTTGATTATATATGTTTGTCTTTCTGGTTTATGGTCCTAAAATGTTTAAATAATGAGGTTTGGCATTGAAATGCTTGGAGTGAACGCCACAGATTGTATTTGAACTCCACTCAAAGGATTGTAGGTCGGCACAGAAAAAGAAGCCTGTTTAGGGAACTGCCTTAGAATTATATAGGGTTATTAAAGGTCACTACTACTGTTTTAGGTCCTTAGCCCTGAATAGTAGCAGCCCAGCTTCTATAGAAAAGTTGTCCGGCTGCTGGATTTATTACATGAATGAATAATTTTACTGCTCCTTAAAGATAAAAAAACGACTCTGCACTGGCGTGGGTGTGTTGCTACAGTTGAGAATATAAAATATGAACCAGGAAGTGGAGGATTATCAGACACTCAGACACTACAGACCATAATATGCTTCGCTGAGACAGATTTTATTACCCTAACAAGTTATCACTGCAGCAGTAATTCGTTTTCAGTCCCTCCGCAAGCACAGTTTTACGCTGCAGGTCTTAAAGTCAGAATGTGTCCTATGCTGTACGCACTGTAAAAACCCTAGACAAATGTGTCATTTGTGATATTGGGATATAAATTGTATATACAATTTGATTGACTGACTGATAGATAGCTAGCACAGTTATCGTGCATGGTAGCAAATCATCAGACTGCTCACAACAATTAACAAAGGGCTCCCGTTTGTGTATCAAATCTGGCGATCCATACTCAGCTTTTTGAACGTTATGAGTGCACAATCTAATAATCATATTGCATTTTGTATTGGGATGCACCCAAATGAACACATTTGAAGTACAGTAATATGCTTATTGAGATCAGCATAGACTGATTTAGTTGTTCAGTTCTGATGTGTTGCCTGTATCTTCTGTTGTTGCTGAGCTAAGCACTGAGTCTTTAGTCCACCCGCAGAACGGCTGCATGTGGTTGTTAAATATTTTTGAATGACTGGCTTCTGGAGCTCAGTCTGAGAGAGCTGCTGCTGCTGTGGTGAGTCATTATCTGATGGCCAGTGTCTGTCTGTGGATGTCAGACCAGTGCTTCCTTGTTTCCCACTGATGCTGTTTGTATACAAAGTATGATCAGCATATTCACTGTCTTTTTTTATAAACATGTGGAACCCTCCTGGAGCTGTTTGCTCCCATTCAGCCACAAAAGCCACTAATTCATCCCAAAGGCAACACCTTGGTGGAGTTGAGTTCAAGGCTCTTTGCAGAACACATTGAAAAAACTGAAACATTGACCTTAATGAATTGTAATATGTCAACCGATTTCACACACCTGTATTTGTTAAGTTTAAACTAATAATCTTATGTTTAAATAGGTTTCACTATTATTGCTCAACTAACCAAATACAGGGTAATGTGAAATCTGTTGACATATTACAATTAATTAAAGTCAACATTTCAGTTTTTTCAGTGCAGTCAAGCTCTGAAACTCCCAACTAAGAAAACCATTCTTCCTGCATGAGGGCTTCATGTTGGAACAGGAAAGAGCATTCCCCAAACTGTTGCGGCAAAGTTGAAAACTGTCTAAAATATAATGAGACTTCCCATGGTAGGAAATAGGAAGTCCAGGCAAAACCCTAGATAACAGCCCCAGATCATAGCCAGCAGCACTGGTATTGTTTCCAGCTCGTGAGTGTGTGTGTGTCATCATGGCACATGGTTCTCCTGGAGACTCCTCCTGTAGCAGGAACGACCACAGAGAAGGATCTGAATACCTTTCAAGGTGTTTGTATTTTCGCCTGTCTATGGACTGATGTTTTACTGCGATAGCGTTGCAACCCTACAAGATAAAGCTCCAAAACTTTTCAGATGTCAAGTTGCAGTAGTGGAAAGTACATTTACTCAAGTAGTGTTCTTAAGTCATTTTTGACATATTTGTACTTTACCTGAGTATTTCCATAGATTGCTACTTTATACTTTTACTCCTCTACATTTCAGTGGCAAATAGTATTATTTTTACTCCACTACAATTATTTTGACACTCAGTTACTTTGTACACATGAGATGCTTATATGTTAGATTGCAGTCCTGCACTTCTAATCTACACAGTGGAGTACTTTTACTTTTGATACTTGAAGTACATTTAGAATTATTCCTACTTTATATTATTATAAAATTGGCCATTGTGCAGAATGAGTACATTTGAGTATATTTTCTCTTTTGTACCTAGGGTCTGAATACTCCTCCCAACAGTGTCTATGAGATCAAAGTGAAGGGCAGGTTCGACATAAGTGCTGTACATCAAGGAAGCGAGAAGTAGGGGGGGGTACCACACACACACACACACACACACACACACACACACACACACACACACACACACACACACACACACACACACACACACACACACACACACACACACACACACACACACACACACACACTTCACATACATTATTGGCCCAAATTGGCCTTGTGGCTGGTCTTTTTCCCATTATAACATTGTCTGCTGCAAAGTAGTTTACTGACAAGGTTTTCTTTTTACAATCTAGACGCTCCCAAATCAGTTTCCGTTGGGCAACATTTCCGGATACTGCTGCAGCTGCATACTAAGTGATCTGTTATCTGTGAATCATGGACGACATATTGAGTTCAACTTTTTATCTAAATGTGGTTTGATCCCGTCATTATTCAAGGTTGCAATAAAGTTTCAGTATGATAGATTTAATGCCGAGGCACAAAGTTAGGAAAGAGGCGGGTGTTTCTGAGCCAGGATCTCTGGTTTCATGTACCTGTATGGGAACTCACCTCTCTGTGTGAGCGTGTGAATCTCCAAACGAAAGCCTTATGGATGTTCTGATTTAACCTAAGCACGCTGGTACACTCAACCTTCCTGTCAACCAAGGAAGTGCTTGGAAACACGTTTTCTGTCTCGTATTTTTCATATTTATTTTCCTTTGACCACATACCACTGCAGTCGGCTCTTGTCAGGACTTGACTCAAGCAACCCACTCACAGCCACAGGGTGTTGGGACACACATGGACACACACACTGGAGCACACACACACACCACATTCCACAGCTGTACACCAGCAGATTAAGAACTAAATGCAAAACTGAATGTTTCATGCTGATGTCTGGCAGATTTGCTTCAATTGTTTAAAGAAATTCAATACAGATTGTTTCCTGAACCACGTCATAAGAAAAATAAACCATAAATCTGAAAGAGGAAGGCAAACTGCTGAAAATGAAAGTTTCCGTGAGCCAAAATGAAAAGCAAACACAGCTGAGACCTCTTCAAAGTTTAATATAAGGATAATATGAGGAATAGGGATTTATCATAACAGGGCCCTTTTGCTATCATTTTGTAGCCTAAATGTTAATCTAATTCCACTGCAGGACCTCGCACGGCTTAGCACGGCTTAGTTAGGCCTTGGTAGGCCAGGCTCACTTTAAGCTGCGTTTCCATTACAGTTTAGTAACTGGGGTAGTTACTATAGTAACGCAGTGTAGGCGGGGCGATCGGCTGTTCGGCGGGCGGAGCGACGCTGTGTAAAACTGCTGTGACGTCATCTTCAATGCGAACCACAAAACCAAAACATCCGCCGTTAGCTGTTAGCACTCAGAGCTCACAGCTCCTCATATCTGTTTAGAAAATAGACAAAAGTTAAACAAATACAAACCACAGACTGCCTGTGTCATGGTGAATACAGTCGCTGCTTTATTTATGTCTGTATAGGCCGTTGTTGTGAGTGTGGACTGAGCATATATAACGTTAGCTTAGCCCAGTGGTTCTCAAACTTTTTCTGTAAGGCCCCCCCTTTGGAGAAAAAAAAAAGTCAACACAAATAGTCACGTAATGGGCCAAGTTAACATTTATTAAAATACAACAATATGAACGTGAGCATTCCTTTCAAAACAATAAAAAAATCGCTTTGCTAGAACAGTGATAAGAAAACAATGCTCCATAAGTCTGTGTGCTCAAAAAGATAAATACATAATACAATTGTTTAGTTTTGTAGTCTTTAGTTCACTGAGCCTCTCAGTCTGACAGGAAAGGACTCTCCTCCACCTTGTTGAAAAAGCTCCTTATATCCGTTAGCGTAGCTCGCTAGCACCAGAAGCTAACAACAACAACGATCTCCGGTACCGGTGTACCGGCTCTCTCTCTCGCTCGCACACAAAATGGCTCGTTCCACACACACACAGAGCCGAGCTTGAATGAAATACAGAGACCCAGACGTACTTGTACTGTACTGTATCATATTATTTTCGAATCAATCATTTTCCAAATTATGATTTTTCTTTTCTTTCTCTCTCTTTTTTTTTTAATCATATCCATTTTTCTTCTTGGTCTCTCGCACCCCCCCCCCCCCCCCCCTGTCATGCCTCTGCGCCCCCCACTGCGCCTTATACCAACTTTTCTATGCAACTTTTTTGTCATACAAAAAGCAACAAATGCAGCCTACTAGCTGCAATGATCAGTTTAATTATTGTTTTATCTGATATCTGATTATAAACTAATCATTAGGTCATCAAAACTCAGAAAGTAGTGAAAAATACTCATCACACATATTTCCAAAGCTCAATTTGTATTTAAATATAAATAAATAATACAATAATGCAAATGTTCACGTCTTAGTAACTGGAACCAATGTAAAATCTTTAAAATTCTTGCAAATAAATGAACAGAAGGGACCGACTTGTGGTTTCCCTAACCTTAATGGACAACTTTAGAGAAGAGCAAATAAAATATCACTTGATATAACATTTTGGTCAAATATAAACACTGTTAAATAACTCCAAATGGAAAGTGATCCTGTTGCGTATCTGCCAAGGCGTTTTGGGGAGGTATTTTCTGTGTTGGAGTTTTACTCGCTACAGGGTGCACTTTGAGGGTTTGTGACTCTGCAGACCGTTTACATGCATACAAACTTTCATAACACACAAGGGGACGGGTAATAACCGGAAAAGCATAACATGGGACCTTTAATGATATATCCATAAAATGACTTGTTTCTAGTTTAGTTTTCATATTTTTTCTCAAAGGTTGTAGGAGCCATTTTATGGGTGTTGTTGGTGTCTCAGTTTATTTGATTTATATGTATAGTGCAATACTATTTTTGAACACTTGGTGGTGGGGTTTAGCTGCACCGGGTGACTGTAGGTCTGTACCCGAATATTCGAATATTCGTTCGTTGGCCAACTATTCGGGTTTCAATTTCATTATTCGGATATTCGTTTTTTAATTTTTTTTCCAAAAAATATTTGTTTTCCCCTAAATGTATGCTATCAATAAAGGCGAATTGCCATATTCTTATACTATATTTATACTTTTTAATTGCACTGTTAAAATGCGGAAATATATACAATATCAGCCTGTGCTCACTGACATCGCGTTCACTCAGTCACAGACGCAAACGGCACGCTTCACCTCGCTTCACCTCGTTTCACACACCTGAACACAAAATGCCGAAGACTTCAGCTGTGTGGGACCATTTTAAATTGGACGACGGTAAGAAGAAGGCAGTGTGCCAAATATGCGACAAGAAACTGGCCGGTGGCACAACAACTCTGAAAAGTCACCGGATGCTGTAAGTACTAGCCTAGCTTAGCTTAGCTGTTGTCAAGTTGCCATGATGAAGCTGCTTTATCCGCCGTTTAAACAGTAACGTTACACATGATAAAATCGTGCACTTACTTTGCTTGGAAAATAGTTGCAAGCAAGCAACCGAATTGTTTTTTTATATTAGTTTTTCAATTGTATCCGAATAGTGAAAATAATAGGAGCAATGTGGGAACATCTGGGGCTAAGGCAATTATTGGCATACAGTTCGTTCATTTATTTTTCGTTCTTCATTTATTTAAATACTGTTTACTGTATCGGTAACAAGTGTTACACTGTTAGGCCGACTGTTACGGCTATGTTATTAAAAGTATTGTTGTTAACAGAAATATGTGTTTTGTATCTTCAGGTTATAAAACGTTATAGACGGAATTTGGAACCAGATTTGGTCCCCGGGCGCTGCGCAGCGGCTGGGTTAAATGCAGAGGACACATTTCGTTTTAATGTATGCGAGTACTGAGACAATAAATACATATAAATCGTAATAGTATGCTCTTTCTGCGCTTCTGCTTAACAGCGTGTTGTCAGGTGTCTCGGAGCGTGTTATGAAAAAATGTTGAAAAAAAATTGTTTTATTAAAAAAACTAAAAAAACTCTCCCCAGCGAATATTCGAATATTCGCTGTTGATTACTACCGAATATCCGGAGCCCGAAAAATGGTATTCGGGACAGCCCGGCGGGTGTATACAAGTGGTCATAGGTGACAGGAGAGGAGGACACAGGAGGAAGAGCACACCGATTCCACCAGCCCGGCAGATGCTCACCACAACTATTGACACAGTATACTTAAACCTTGGTATGTAAAGCAAAATAAACATAATTCTAAACTGCAGCAAAAGACAGGAAATTCATCCGTTTGTGTCTGCGTCTGGATCACTCCAAACCCTCCTGTGAAGTAATATAGGACATTGGAACATCAAAAATTGCCATTACAAAAGTATTACTAGAACATCTCATACCAGAACACATGGTGCAGTTGAATTATTAGCTAATGCAGAGTCAAAGCTGTAGCCTATGTTCTGTGTGGTGTTCTTATGTACATGTGTTTCTGTCTATGCAGCTGCATAACATAAATGTCGCACAGCAAGATCCCATTGTTTGATTGAGATTTAACACATTTATTAAATCAATGTTTTGTGTCAATTACTATAGCTAAACTTCTGTCTTTACAAACCCACAGTGTTATCCTTACATCGTCTGAGTCATGAAACTGTGCAGTACATCAAACACTTCTAGCAGTACATCCTGGTCCAGATGTATCACTGGGACCCATCTGTTTTCAGTTATGTAGTCTGCGTATGTGGACTCATTCACCTGCTCACTCACACGAATCAACCTGCTGCTACATCTGTAAAACACCTGAACCAGGATGTTTGAATATGTTATTACTGAGAGCAGGTTGTTCAGATGCTCTGGCATCCCCTCAGTCACGGAGGACATAGCCTTCGACCTTTAGCAAATGTGACCTGGAGGGACCTTACAGGGTAACTGTTCATTGAGTGGTGCAGGAATGAGTCCCTGAACCTAAAAATGAGTTAGCTGTTTACAACTTTTGGTTCAATCATCTCAAAGCCTTTTTTTAACATGTTTTTGGTTAGATGCCTGAAATAAGATCTGTGGTAAACACAAGCTAAAGAGATTTTCACATTTTGTTCAACAGCATCAAATGTGTCAGAGCCTTCTTGTGTTTAAATAACAGAAGTTGCTAACAAGTGACTAAGTGGGACGACTAAATGCCATCACGCCGAACATTAGCCGCCTTTAGCTTAGCGTCAGTGACATTTTGCGAGCGTGGTGTAGTTAGTTTTTTACTTCTGGCTATTATATTTACATTCTTACAGCACCACTCTATTACACCTGGATCTATTTGTCTCTTTCTCAACATTTCATTTCAGTGAAAATGTGCTGACTAGCGCCTTTTTAAAACCATAACACAACACTCATGCACTTGTGATTAAAAGAAAGGTTACTACTTTGGTCAGTTGGAAACACAGTGGCATCGGCTGAGCCAGCGGCCTCAATGTGAGCTCACTGTGTGCCAGCACAGAAGTTGAACACATGGTGAAAGATAATATATGGTATTATCCCTCTCAGTGAAAAATCCTCTCCTGAGGCCAAGCTGCCAGCTTCTTTTCCAGTGAAGCTATTTCATTTCATTTAACCTTCACATGTGAGACCTTTTACCGTATCAGTCTCATGAACAATTCATGTATTTATTTAATCGTAGATCTACAACGTGTGACATGATTGTGTTTAATGATTTACTAAAGTGTGTATTATTTTAGATGTTTGTCGTGAATTTCTGAAGCTCTAAAAATGGAAGGTGTATTGATGGTTTTAATGCAGCAGTTTCTGCATTGGAGAACATAAAGTAACTTTAACCATGAAACTCTTTCAAGGCAGTACAAATATGACTAAATATGTCTGTGAACAAAGTTTTTTCGAAGAATGTAACAACACGAAACGGCACCCACATCATCAAACACTTACTATGTCTATAAATGTGATCAATAAATTGTTGATGATTAAGATTGTTTAATATTCATGACTACAGGAACAGTTTTGGGTAAAGTATCCTTCCCACGGACACTTTGTCTTGTTGGCTGCAGGAACTGGGAATCAAAACACTTACCCTTTAGTTGGTAGTGGCCCTTTTAACCCCCTAAGACAAAGCTGCCTACAAACAAAATACCATTTTTTTAAAAATTCTGTTATCTCTGATCCTTCTGTCTGTCTCTGTCTAATATGTGTCCTTCTCTGTCCTCAGGCCCTGGCCTCACATCGAGCCTATCTGCTGACAGCACGGGTCCCTTCCAAGGTCAGTAGATCTCTGAAGTAAATCATCTTTCTGAGTATGTCCTACTTCCAACCTTCGCTTTCCTCTCTACATCTGATCTTCATCTTCATTCTTTCCCTTCTTCTCATCCAATTCAAGTTGTTATCTATATTTGTATACTTCTTCCTCATACTCTTTAAGAATGTTTGTCATTTGTTCCTGACAGACATGCTGCTGCTTGTTCATCCAGAGTCAAGTTGTGGGTTTTTTTCAAGTGTGAGCACTTTCAGTAACTTAAACTCTGTCAAATAACACACATTGTCCTTCTTGGTGCCCAGAGGAAGAATGCCACTGAATTTGGGGACCTTTCTATACAGGCTTATACTTCATGTCTATGTTTGTCATTATTGTACTTAAAAAAAAAAAGATATCATATGAATGTATTTTTCCACAAACAGAGGAATGTGTGAACAAACTCAGAGAGAACACACCTAACAGTGCTTTTGTTCCACTTTTTAGTTTTTGTTTACTTTTCCAAAAAAGTGGTAAAAAGGCCCAACTTATCATAGTCAGTTGCTGGGTAAATAATGATTGTGTGATTAACTTGGCTGACAGGTCTTCAGGGGTTTTAGCTGCATCTACACGGAGACGAAATGGAGAACGAACCGAATTCGATATCAAAAAAGTATTCCATCCACACGGTATCTGCTCAAGAAACGTGTCCGTCCACACGAGACCGCTCGACCCGCTGGAGACACTGTAGTACATATGCCGGGCCTGTAAGTGGCGCTGTACTTCCGCCACAAAATACATCAAAAGCAGCTAATAAGACCTCCTGAGCATGGTTGCCCTGGTTGTCTGGTTGCCCTTCTGTTTATTCTCCGCGTGGATTCAGCGGTGACGCGGGGGTGAGCAGCAGAGGTGGGGAGAGGCAGGGCTCTGGCTGTTTCTCTTTTTCTCCCTCCCCGAAGCGAGTGTGTGCTCCTGCTGTAAAAGGCAGGTGCCACTAACTCTGAGCCTGACTCCCGAGCAGGACGTTCTCCCCGGCAGTCCACCAGCAGATGAAAAACACCCACCTCTCCGCCTCTTCCAAGGGACAAGGGAACCGTGCGGGGGGGTCTGCTGGAGGCTCCTGCTGGGTGCACTATCCTGCGAGATACCGGGACCTGGCTCGAAACACTCGGAACACTGTTGTTGTTGTTGTTGGCAAAACACATCAGCAATGACGCGGGGGTGAGCAGGAGAGGCGGGGTCATGGCGTATAGGGCGTACACACGGAGCCGTTGAGGGCTCCGTTTCCCCGGTTCCGTTACGGCCTCGTGTGGATACGATAGAGCAGTGGTTCTCAAACTTTTTCAATAATGTTCCCCCTTTGAAAAATAAATTCAGCCAAGTACCCCCTGATCAGCGCAAAAACAATTTGTCAGGGAAACAATGCCTATATAAAGAGGTACAGTACAGCGCTGCACCATCAGTGTCTGATTTATTAAAACAACAACCTTCTAACTGAGAAACACTTAAATTCTACATTTCAAATTTTTACAATCCATCACTAAATTCATGGCAAACCAATTTTAACATCATGCAATAACACTGAGACGACATTAGTTGCATTGAACTGATCTTTTTAATAAGTTGTACTAACAATATAGTGAGAAGCTTGAGCTTCACTGAGGATCTTTGTCATTCTGACAGGGAGGCTAACTGCAGTTAGTACACTTCACGTTTTGAAATATGTGTAACTCTGTTAATATAAAACCCACACTGCTCAAACTTCCTTACTTTTCCTAAAATTGGTATATCTATTTATTTATTTATTTTGGGGCGTGGGGAATGAAGAGAAAAAAAAAAGAGCATTTTATGAGCATGGGATTTCGACCCCTCATATAAACATATGCATAATGCTGCGCTATACTTTGCGGCCACACGCCGTTGCCAAGCAACGCTTATTGTTTAGGTCCTTTGATAAGCAGGCAGTCATATCATTAACTAGAACTAGCTAGATCTGATAGATTTGGACAAAAACGCGAGTGAAGTCTAACCGGACGGGAGAGAGAGAGAGAGAGAGATCAGAGATCAGATCAGCTGCTGCTGATGGAGAACACGCAGCTCTTCCGGGAGTTAGACCTAACACACTTAGCTAGTTAATCTACTCTGCAACTAGCTAAACTAGTTATAAATATATTTATTCTTTACTGTCGGGTCACTTATTACAGGTTCAGCGAGCTGCACGAGACTGACAGGCTGTCAGGAGAGGGAGAGGAAAAGAGGGCACCCCGTTTATTTTTCCCATTTTATTATCCAGAATTACTGTAAACCTTTGAATAAAGTAGTTAATCTACTATTAGTAGTTTGTTTAAATGCATTACTTATGTTGTTTTTTTCATTAACATAAAATAAATCTCACGTACCCCCTGCAGTACTCCAACGTACCCCTAGGGGTCCGCGTACCCCCATTTGAGAACCACTGCGATAGAGAACTGTAGCAGATACAACCCGTTTCGTGTCCGTGTGGACGGGGCCTTAGTTTTGCAGTATGCTGTACATAAAATAGATAGAAAACACTTTGCGTCTTCATCTGTAAAGAAATTACACAAAGAACCAAATGATTGGCTGCCTTCCTGGTCACCTTTAGTGCTGATGCATCATAACCTCTCAAACGTGCAAAGTAATGATCATGTCCACACCTGAGAAGTTAGAGAATTATCCAAAAAGTCGCTTACACTATAGGAAAATATTTGATTTCCTTCTGTATTGTTTGAACACAACATTTCATGCAGTTTAAACGTACCAATTGCACATTGTGAAATTGATTGTAATTAGAATCTAACATTAAAGGTGGGGTAGGTAAGTTTGAGAAACCAGCTCGAGATACTCTTTTTGTTATATTCCATGGAATGCTCTTAAAGGAATGGTATGCTCATGACACTCATTTTTAAATAATTATCATCCGATAAAACAGACCAGTCTCTGCCAGTCTTTTTTTAAATGTTTTTATCCGATGACATTATCAGTGATTTTAAACTGATTAATTACCGAAATAACATCAACACTGTGGGCGGCGCCATTTTACCGGACGTGACGTAAACCATACGTTTGGTTTCGAGGACACGTTGATGTTCATGTTATTTACTGTAGTTACTCTCTTCAAATATGCCTCATTGTATCGCGAAACATTGCCACAATTCTGATAGGAACAATCCACGGAATGCTCGGTTCCATCTGTTGCCAAAAGATAAGCGTAGGAAGTACGTTCGAAGGCAGTGGCTAGCGAAATGTGGCCGGCCCGAACCGAAAGATCCACAGGCGCATGTATGCAGCGAACATTTCAAGTTTCCGGACGACTACTCTGAGAGTATGATAAAACATAACATGGGATTTATTGAACAACCATTACTTAATGGAGATGCAGTACCATCGGTCTTTCTGGTGTCATCACCGACCAGGACACCAGTTCGGCCAGTTGAGAAATCGCCCTCTGCAAGTGTGAAGCGACGGAGGACCAGAAGTAGTGCTCGGAGTAAGAATAAGGTATGTTATAGCGCATTTCCATTGCAGCGGGTAGCCCCGTTTAAACGTCCTTTATCGTCCAGGCCAGGCCAGTTTTTGGTGGCCTTTCCATATAGCGTAGTACCGGCTAGTGGGTATTTTCCCCCAGTTTTTCCGGCCCCATAAAATCGTGGTTCTAGGGCCAGGGACAACGAGGCTGAGTGTGCTAAACTAGAGAGGGAATCGCTAGCAAGGGTGGTACTACATGCATACATATCTAGTAATCAAAATCATTGTATCTACTAAGTAGGCTCGAACCTGTATGGCTGAATTCCCCCATCCAATCTCTTCATATTGCTCAAAACTTCTTCCTCGGCTAACGAGTCCGAACTCAAATACTCCGCCATGTTTTCGTGTGTTTACAAAGTGAACGCATGGATGACGTCACGACCATCACGTGACTACTGAAAATGGGCAAAATGGCAGCGGCCTGACGGAATATACAGGTTTTGATAAAAAAGAGCTATAAAATCATTATTTACCGGGGAATATCGCTGATTTCTTCAGGGTATGGTTTAAACATAATGTTTCCCTAAATACTGAAGTTTTGATTAATTATCTAATGAGTGGAGCATTCCTTTAACATCCCGATAGCAATGAATATCTTAAGTGCTTTGACAAAAAATCCATAAAAAAATATCATCTCTGGAAGCCGTAGCGCTGTAAAAAGCACGACCGATCATCTGAGCCGGCCCGGCTAAAGTAACTGGATGGCCTACCTGCCTGTCAGCCTTCCATCTGTGCACAAACTTATCTCATGCCCTCATTGGTCATGTGCGCGTTCGTGTGTGTTGGAGGAGGGGCTCTGTAAGGAAGTGGCAGATTTGTTCCGGCTGTGTATTTTCAAATTCTAGCGCACTCGAGCTGGTTTCTCCAAAACTACCTACCCCACTTTTAAATGGTGCCATGTGGTATATATGTGGGTTTAGGTGAAATATTTCAATAATTGTTGGATGGGTGAATTTTAGGGTGATCCTCTGATCTTACACCAAACGATAAATAAATAAACTTCATTTAAAGGGCCCCCATTCTGCTCATTTTCAGGGTCATATCAGTATGTAGTGTCTCTACTGTGACATGTCTCCATGCTTTAATGTTCAAAAAGCTCTTTATTTTTATCATACTGCCTGTGCTGCAGCACCTCTTTTCACCCTCTGTCTGAAACCAGAGCCCAGTCTGCTCTGATTGGTTAGCTGGCCGGCTCTATTGTGATAGGTCAACCACTTAGAGATGTCCCGCCCATTAGCCCATCACGTACAATGTGTTGGAGCGCGTTGGATTACAAAGTGATGTCATTATGTTACCGAAGTAAACAAAGGAGTCCAATGGAGGCGTTTCAGGCAGGGGCAGTGTGTTGGAGAGAAACTCCCTCTGGAGGGAACACAGGGAATTTAGCCTCTACAGACCATTTACATGCACAAATATACTGTATATACTTATATAACACACTACAGGAGAGGGAAAACCCCAAAAAGTATAACCGGCTCCCTTTT